TGTCCGGGCCACTCAGAAAAGACCGCCGGGCCGCAGGTTGAGTATCGCTGCTCTAGTGTAATCAGCGTTTATCTGATATTTCCATCACCGTACTTTGTTGTAGACTAATATCAAGATTTGATCATCACTTCGAATTGGGGATAATACCTGTGGAATCTGGACCATTTATGTCTCCAATGCGGTATCCTTTGTCCTCTGCAGCCTCCAGAACTGCAGCTTTTAGTTCCGAATCATAGGGAGGTTTCGAAACGGTCACTGGACCCCCAATACCATGGTAACCTGAAATGTTTACAGAAATTACATTTAAAATTTTTAAAAATTCCTTTTTTTTTTCAATAAATCATTTTTTGATAGGATTTAGGATTTTTCATCACATCTTAAATAAAACTAACGTCTACGCATTTTAATTAAGTTAGCAGAAATTAACACTTTGACAAAAGCGCTTTATTTTGGAAATCAGATTAGAAATGTTAATTATTCTATTAAACATATAGAGAAATTTTAGGAAAATACAATAATTCGTATATTACAGCTAGGTATTGCAATACCGGTATACCGGGATACTGAATATCAGTATTTTGAGCCAGTTCTGCAATTTTGTAATACCGGTATTTACAAGTTTAAATACCGGTTTACGGTATTTACTAGAATTTTTTTAAGCTGTCTCCATTATATGTTCAGGAATCGCCAACATATCTATAACACATGCTTTATAATACATTACATAACTATAATTATTTTTAAAAATGAAAATGGAAAAAAAGAAGAAAAGAGACGGACCAAATCAAATTTGATTAAGTTTAGGGTAAATTTTCTTAAAATGTTTTACCCACATACCTATCCACATTCAGAAGAATACGGTACAGTTATCGAAGAGGATAACACTAATATCGATATTGAAAAGGAATTGTCTCTTGAACAAAAAATCGAATTAGCGATACCTAAAAAAAATTTCAACAAACCAAAATACAATACAGAAATCAGCTATATCCAAAGCCCTCCGATAAAAAATCGATTTATTTAAAGATGAGGGATTTGGAAAAAGCACATCGTGTATTGCTAACAGTACTACCAACTAGAGTAGATGCCTAAAGAGCGTTTTCGACAGCTGGTAATTTTTGCACGAAGTTACGTTATGGGTTTAATGGCAGTGCAATTATGTTTTTCAAGATCACATTTCAAAAATTTGTGATAGTACCACAGATTAAATAGTAATATTTATACTTTTTTGTGGTTTAAATGAATAAGATGTTCCTTTACTTTTTTTGTGATGCTTCATATACTGTCATAATTTATAGGTTACAAATTATTTTTGCGATGTTTAAACTCTCTAATAAAACTGGCAAATAAAGCAAAGAAACACCTGTGTTTTCTTTCTTTTTCTAAAATTTCTACTACCGGTATTAAAACCGGTATCCCGGTATTAAGGCATAAAAAATACCGAATACTGGTATTGAACTTTTGGTCCGATATTGCAATCCCTAATTACAGCATATGTCATTTAAATTATATTACGATTGTTACGCTATTATAGGCAGGAGATAAGTGAATATATGTTTTAATTTCAGTTTAAAACTTATTTAGGTAGAAACATGACCAGGATAATTTTCTCTTACAGTTGAAATAAGACTCGGTCCCATTTTAGTCCTATAGGATTTTATCCCTCCGGACATAACAACATGTTTCTCCCAGTTTTCTCTGTCTCGACTTTGAAAAACACGCCTTGACGCCACTTTGGAATTATTTTAAAAAAAATCTTCTCGAAGGGGTGGGCTTTAATGGGATTTTACCTTGAAATTATTTATACTTGTATCTCCTTTGAATCTCTGTACTCTTCTTTGTTTCAATAATTATAAATCGTGATGAGTGAGTCAATGTTTAGTAACGTCCCATTCTAAAACAGTGGTGACGGACTGAGTAATTTCGATCAAGTGATGAGGGCCACTCCAGAGATGACACCCCTTCTCCAAACTACCTTACCATGACAACGGGAGGACTTAAGAGTCTCGAAAGATTCAGTCCTTCTCTCTTCTTCAATGGTCCCCTACGGCTCAAACTCATTACACGCTTGTTACGAGTTCGTGACGATAACTGCTTGACTACTGATGCCACTAATCGTGACGAGATCCTATAAATGATTTTACCATCCAACTTTAAGTTATATATATATATATAATCCATAAATATATACAAATAGCTATAAAACCTACCTAAGTATAACTAGTCAAGATAGTAGGAAATACTAGCCACAATAGTACAATAGCAAACTCCTGGCCTTAGGAGCCAAAATTGCAAGTTTAAACAAAGTTTTAGGGCTAGCCAACCTTCATCTGTAATTTACCTATACTACTGAGCCATAGAGGGAAAGGAAGGAATATTATTAGGGGAAATTTAAATATTACAAATGAAATTCATTATACTATTAAAATAAAACGATAAAATTCATGCCTACTAGTATTTACTAGTATAGATTTAAAGTCGATGCAATAAAGTAAATGGTAAGGCTTACTTCGTGAGCACAGGAACAAATTATGTTTCCCCCTCGATACAAAAGGAAAATTGTAGTACCGATTATATTAAAATTAGTGAATTATGATAAAGTAATTTTAAGACTACATATATACGCTTAGAAAACCTTAAATATTGACATAAAATTTTATAGAAAATAAAAAAGCTTCACAAACATACATAAGAATATTTAAATAAAATATAATATTATTCATTTGTTAAACATGTGGTGCCATCTATTGAATAACTGTATAACTGATTGAAAAATGCTATTATTATTACATATTGTCATTTCACTGATATATATATGCTTACTTTCGTACGTATTTTCTATACTTAAATTCTTCTTTGCATTTTAATTAGGCAGGCGAAATTTTTGCTTCTTAAATACTTACCACTTTTTCTTTCTGTTGCATACCCAAATACTAGGAATTATTTATGGAATGGAGTAAAGAATTGAAAGCAGTTTTATTGTTGAACTAAGGATATGAAACGAAAAGGAAATATAAGAATGAATTATATTTCCAAACTATCAAAATTTTTGAATTTAAAAAAAAGGTAAAAAAAAACATTCAAAGCTACGAGATGAGACGCAGTATTGGAAGATAAAATTACAAAGAATAGTAATTGTAGAACTGAACTAAAAGATTGTACTTTTTATGCCAATTGGACGAGTTTTTCATCAATATTATCTCCTAACATGATGTAATTAGAATGAAGTATCATAAGATGAAGCGAGGAATATAATGAAGTATAAATCGAGTCGAGGATTTAGGAGAAAAAAGTGCAAGAGTAAATCATAACTATCAAAGAGGTTTGAAATAATTTCCGAAGGAAATAAAAGAAGAATTAATGACAAAAATTAAAGTTTAAATTTTGTTTTCTTAGTAAGAGAATATCAAAAAAATTATCAAGAAAAAAAACGTTCAAGCACGTAACTATTGAAGTGTTAAATAAAAGAATGAGAGATATTTAAGTTGTGGTACCGTTTTCAGAGTATTCTTCATCGGTATTGTCTTCTAGTTTCACAAAATAGGGCAATATTTCCTCGTAACTCCAACCGGAAGCACCACCAGCAGCCCAGTCATCGTAATTCTTTTTATTTCCTCTGAAATTCAGCATACCACTGATGACACTACCGCCACCTATCGTCTTGCCACTCGGCCATGCTACTGACTGAAATTGTAGTGAAATGCAAAAATAATGTTTTTAATGAAATTTGCTCCTTTAAATTATATTATAAAATGATTATTTATCAATTATTTAAAATTGTATATACTGTATATATATTTGTTCACTTGGTCGCAATAGCGCTTGTCACGTGATTGTTGGTACTTATATTATACCTTTTTTTAAAAAATCAACATGCTGTTGTACGTAGACGGTTATTGTTACTCGTTTCCCCCCCTCCCCTTGTTCATTTTTTTAAATCCTACGCCCGATTTAGACGTGTCCTCCATACGCAACACAATACAATTTAGAAACACAGTAAAACCTACAATGATTTTTAACCTGAATAGTTTCAGTTGTGTCACTGAGTCCGAAATAAGAGACCAAATGCTCTGTGTACATGTTTGTAAGATTACATAAATGAGAAAATGAAAAATCTACTAAGCCGAATCTTTACATGTATTTCTTGAAGTAGTCATATGTCCAGTTATAACTCTAATGTTAGCAACACGAACAGGTGCCCAACAATTAACTTCACTTTCCCCCATAAAGATTCTTGAATTTTTTCTTGAAAATGAACTTTAAATATAACATTGATGTTTCTTTCAGCACTTTGATAACAAACAGAAGGATCATGTTAAGAAAGTTTAGAAGGCCTAGTGTTAGTATTCCGCAATGAATTCGAACACACTGCAAGGTGACATTTTATCAACTATACTTTAAAGAATAAATTGAAAATCGACAATTAAGTACAGACCCATTGATTGAAAGTAGAACTTACAGAAATTGCTTTAATTGTTGCCTGATAACCAATAAAGCTCATAATGTTCTTATCATATTTTTTAAAGATTTTAGTCAAAGCCATTTTGACAGCAACCACTTCAGCATCAAAGCTAGTACAGTTTGCACAAACAGCTCTATAAAAGCTAAAGTGCCAAGATTAAAAGCCTCAACTCCAGCATAATGAACAGCACCGGTAGCAAAAGCATCGGTGTACGTAAATAACCAGTGCATTGCAGTACAGTATTTTACGCGGCGCTATAATACTTAAGAATACTATTGTAAATTGCCGCGTTTAAAAGTTAAAGAAACACCTCTCAAACAGTGAATGTCAGTTATATAATAGTTAAAAAAAATTAAGTCAGTTCCTACTTAGGGTAACAATGAAAAAATTTATTTTAGTTATGTTTTATTATAAATAATTACAACTAATATAAATATGTACACACATATAACAGAATCCCAATCAATTTTAAGAGGCAAATTTAATTATTCTAATAAACTAGTATAATAAAACGAAATCACGTTCTCAGAAATTAGGCCATCCCAGGTGGAATCCGAAACCATGACCTTTGGATTAGACGTCTAACGCGCAACCCATTGCGCTACAGGGACACAACGAGAGCTTTTTCTTTGGTGTTGGACTATTATTTTTGTTTGTTACTAATTATTCATTAATTAAGGAATTAATATTTGAAAAAACTGTATTAACATCAAGTTTCATCCACTACAAGTTAAATAAAATTTGCTTATGTATATATATATATATATATATATATATATATATATATATATAT